TCCCATGGTAAAGTTACCCTTACTTTMTTGGRTAAAACTTACCCTTCTCCTAGGTGGTGGATATGTAATTTTTCCACCGGGGAGAAACTTTTACCCATTTTAATACTTACCTATTATAGGTACCACTACAAGAAAAACGAGCTAGGCTGGCGTTAGATAAACCGCCAGCATAGACATGAGCCGGTGGTTCAATGGCCGCCTTTTATGGTTGTGTCACCCTAGGTCGTGAACTCCGGTCTAGAAGACAAAGACCGCCGTCCTAGGGACCCGATCCAACCATTCATTTGTTGGCGGGTGTTTAGAGCACCGTTGGCTTATATAATGCACGGCGGCGGTCCAAACTACTGGGACAGGCAGCCTTAACCGCTGACTTAGAGATTCATTTGTCATTTTCATGAACCGCCACTTAGATTGAATTGTGCAATCAAATCCGACAGTTTTAACTGCCCAACTTAGATTGAATTGTCATCTAATTAAATCGCGACCATAAATGTTTTATTTCATCAAAAGTGGCGGTTCAGACCGTCGGCATAGATGTTGAATAAACCGCCACCAATGCCAAAGGTGGTGGTTTGTTTAATTTTTTTAATAAGAAGATCAKTTGACACCTACTGAAACCTAAAGCAATGCATGGTGCATATTGATTTTTTAATAGAAAAAGCATTTCATTAATTGAAACAAGAATTCAATACAATCAATTCTGATCATCTAATTTGCACTTGTACTTAAGTTCCGGTGAGCTGATATACATTACTAGTTTTTCAAATGACCAATGCTTCAAAAACTTGTAAAGACCATCAAAACAGCCAGGGGAGGTTTTCCTGCAACATATATCTTGATCCATTACGATGACAAGAACACCCTAGATCCTTTATTCGAACCACACTTGGAAACTCTTGAAGGTTTTCCTACGCTCTTCTCAAAAAACTCTTGGAAGTTGACATTGGGCATTTTATTCATATTTACATCAACGGCACACAAGTGTTGCTAGAATGAGGAGTATTGGGGTGGGCCTGTAACTTGACATTTTTGCTCCCATCTTTTTAACAAATTTTCTTTTGGTATAGCTCTAAAGCTTTAAACAACTAACAATTAAATAATAAGCCAAACAATGTGTCGAGTACTAGATGGTATAATGTAAAAAAATGTCAAAGTCTACAGGAGTAGCCAAAGCATATTGATTAAAATGAATTACAGATATCAGCAATGGTAAAGCTGATTTTCTAACCTCCAAAGAGCATCTGACATCTTCTACAGTGGGCCAAATTATCAAGGGCTTCCCCAAACCCAAAGGGCTTAGATCCATTAATTAAGCATCTTGAAAGCATATAACCCTTTTTTTTATCAATAACCAGATCAACAAGCTTTATTAATGAAAAATCTGAGAAATATAAAATGATCTTTCTCTAGAAAGTAGAAACAAGGGGATCTAGATAGAGATGTTCTGGAAATGATATGCTAGATAGAGAAGCATTAACTATAATTAAATTCAAAAGCATGTCTAAGTGTCATTATCTCATTAATTCTGATTGTCCTTCCATTTAAATTCAAAAGCATTAACTATAATTAAAAATAGTAACCCAAATGATTGTAACCCCATGTAAAAATTATGTGCAAATGATGTGATTTGAACATAGAACACCTATGTGAAAGATAACCACTCTTACCATTAGGCTATGTTAATTAAATTTCGTATTCCTATATCTAGATATTGAAGCTAATTGTCATTTCTTAATCAGTAGATACAGATTGAAATATTTCAGTAATTAAATTTCATGTTTCTATATCTGGAAATGACGACTGTAAGGAACTTGCAAATTTGCTTTTCTAGTTACAGATGCAAATTGACCTGATCAAAAGTATTGGTGTCAAAAGGAAATGCAGAGAAATCAATATTACACAAACAAAGGGAGTAATTCCATTAAGAAGTTTCTTTTTAAAGCATTCATGCTACGCAGATGACATGAAATGAAGGTTCAGCTGAAACAAATTCTTTTTGATCCCTAAAGAACTTCATGGGCACACTAAGCAAGGACTTATATAGGACATTTTGCACGCTTAACAAAGTACTATTGTGATTATCTCACTACACAAGAGATAAAAGCAAGAACTTCTATGGACAAAAAATCTCAGAGAATAAAAATCAAGATGCATTGTCTCTTCTTTGGGACAGCATATCCGACTACGACATAAGAGTACTCACTGACGCACTGATCATAAGGGTACACCAGTGCTGCCACTAAAGCATTTTGTTATTCTTTCAAATCTCTGAAACATACTCCGAAAACTCTAAAAACCCTGTTTGCTTCAAAAGTGTTGCAGCTGAAAGCCTAGTTCCTGCGAGGCGAATAACAAGTAAATTTTATGTAAGGGATATCAGTACAACACCTCAATAATGGAGGCGTGAAAATCATCATGGTTCAGAGAGAGAGAGAGAAAGAGAGTTTGATTTGACTACAGACCGAAGCTGAGAGAGTGGGAGAGATGAAGGGGGCAGGAGATCAAGAGATGACTGTGAGAGTGAGAGAGAAGGGAGGGAGATTGAGAGACAAAGGGAGTGAGAGAGAAATTGAAAACCTATTTCGGTATAGGTTTTTTGCTATGTCCAACATGGACTAAGAGTACCATGTTGGCAACAACCACATAAGCCTTCAATGACACGGCGGGGGTTTTATAATTTGAAATGTAGAGTCACTTGTCAGAGTTTTATTGGTTTCTGGACCAACCTACAATCTAATTTTAAATGTACAATTGACTTTGACTATAATTTTCTCTTTAAATTATATATTTCATTTACATTATATAAAATATTTTTTCCTTATCACACTTAATTTTTCTGTCTATGGTATCATTTGATTCAAACCACTAACACACCATCTAAAAATAAAAATTGTTTGATTTCTAGGTTAACATTAAATTTTGTATTACATCTCCATCATTGATAAAATTATTTCTTATATATAAAACTTATTTTTGTTCAATATAATGAATGCACAATATTAGAAATGTACCCAATATTTTATTTTTTATAAATAGATAACATTAGATATGTGCCTAGAATTTTCTCTATCTTTTTTTTTGTGACTCTTTGTATTTTCTATTATTAAAAATTTTATTATTTGACTATGATATCATTTCATTTCTAGGTAGATTTTGAATTTAGCATTCCATTTTCATCATTAATAAAAATACTTCTTACATTTCATAATTATTTATTTTATTTTTTATTATTTAATTATGGCATTATTTATTAATCTATTTGACCCCAAATGGTCGAATTGCTCACCCACCACAGTGAGAGAAGAAAATGGTTTTGCTTTCAAATTACTTTTCAAAATATTTAGTTTTATACTATTAAAATTAATATTGTGGATTTAATTACAAGAATTTAATGATGAGAAAAATGTATCTTAAATATAGGATTTAATGAGAGAGAATAGGAAAATATTTTTATTTTCCAATTGGTTTTAAATTTTATATTCCATTTCCATCATTAATAAAAATATTTCTTATTTATCATGGTTATTATTGTTTAATATGTATGTTAAAATGTTTCCAATTTTTTAATTTCTATTTTTTCATTTTATCTATTTTCAATTTTATTATTTAATCTTGGCAATATGGATTAACCCATTTGATCCACAATGATTTAATTTCTTACCACCACCTAGATGAAAACACTATTTTTGCTAGGTAGATTTTAAAAGTATAAGCTTTTATGTTATTGGAATTATTAATTTATTAAATATGGATTTAATTAATAGAACTTAATGATAAGAAGAAACAAAATTGACTTAAATATATGATTCAATGAACATAAATGCAAGTTAATAACTTGAATGTTGGATTTAATGAGAGAGAATCGAATGCATTGAATATCTTTAAATTACTTCTTTTCAACTCATTTAATATCAAGAATTGATTACCCTATTCTTGAGGCCAATGCTTTTTAAAGTAGTATAGATATGATCTTTATCTACTTTAGGGAAACAACCAAGTCTTTTATGTCTATTTATGGTACCATCATTTAACATAAAAAAAATTATTTATTTTAAGCATTTTAGATAAATTACTGAATAAAAAAATCCAATTATTCTTTTACAAGACAAGGGGTGATTTAGAAGAAAACAAGTGATCCAAAAACATCCCATGCTCCTGATGTAAACCACTTAAGAAATTGTTTCAATCCGTAGAACAAGGATATTAGAATTTATGTCACTGTTACAAACGAACGATGGCTGAAAGTCTGAGTGACCGAGGGATTAGTTGATTAAAATGTTGTTTATAGAAAAAAGGTTATTAAGAAAAGGATGGGGACCACTTTTTATTTTAGTTAATAACGGCAGCATATTGACGAAAGTAGGATTCATTAACAGGAGCTTTTCTTGGCTTTGTCCGGGAACGAACACAAGCGCTTTCTCCGGAGATGTTTTCAATACATGACGAGGATGTGCTGTGGGGGGCTGATTTGATTTCATGGACATTGCAACACATCGCAATCGTATATTAAGAACATCTCGCATCTGCGCCCCACAGAGCGTACCCAACGAACACCACCCACAATACATCGCAATGTCAACTACGGAAAAATTGGATCATTGTATCTGCATTTCAGTCAATTTTAACATTCGGATCAGATTTAACGGGTAAATAATAGTATCGACAAATTTGAACCGTTGGTTCTGGCAATCAGACATTTTTAACCGTTAGATTTACAAATGAATAAGTTGGACCATCGGTTTAACCGGGTTGATTCACAAATGATGAATGAAAGTCCATTAATAAGTGGTTATTGGTACTCCACAGTCCACAGTCCACAGTCCACAGTCCACACCACACCGAATCAACGGAAGTAGCCAGACAGAAAACGCGTGAGAGGGTCCAGTTGGTGCTTAGCTGGCAAAACACCATCTCGRGCTCGGGATGTTCCGTTGTTGGGACCCTTGTTCGCACTATATGCGGTCTCTTACCATCCTCTTTCTCCCCCATCGAACATCAGTCTTAACCCAAGTCGCCTTGAAGACTAGAAGTTTATTGAGAAGGAATTTGTGAATTTCATCACAGGAACTTGAACATAGTATTATCATTTGAGTGACAGATCTTAGGTCCCCTGCAACATAGACGATAAATCACAGCTTACACCATTTTGACGGAGAAGATCAGACAAGGCATGGAATACATTAAAGGTCTGTTCGTCAACAAGATCGACCGCTGCGAGCTCAAGGAGGGTGATCACATCTACTGCTGGAGATCACTTTACATCCACGCTCACCATGGTTCGTCTAATATTAACCTCTCTCTCTCTCTCTCTCTCTCTCTCTCTCTCTCTCTCTCTTATATTTTGATGGTTCTCTATCTTGAACGTAAACGATGGTGGGTTTTGTTCTCCGACAAATTTAATATTGTTACAGGGATATACATCGGTGACGAACACGTTATTCACTTCTTCCCTACAGAAACAGAAGGATTTTGGTCGGATTTCTTGGGGTCCTACTGGAATCCCTCGTGCAAGAAATGTGACAAGTCCAACCGTGACCGTCAGGGAATGGGATCGGACAGGTTGGGGCATCGATGGGCTTTCTTCAGAACCATGTTTTAGGCGAGGTATTTATGATGGCCTTACGCGGTCTTGGCGACATTTTCCAGATCAAAGAAGTGGAATCCCTCAAGGCCATTCTGCAGATTCTAATTGAACCGGGAGATCAGACGATTCGGGATGGTTTGGGGAGCAAACTTGTCGAGGAGCTGGGGCTTCGGAGTAACGTTGTAGATCATCTCAAACGTTTTATTAGTGCGAATGCCACCAACATGCTTATTGCTCTTCCACATTGGTTGAAGTCTGGTCAGAATGTCTTTCGTCCACTGATTTTAATCTACCAATCGGATATTGGAATTCACAAGGATGTTCGTTCCGTTGACGTCGAGCAACTGGTTGTCGAGCTAAACCCGGTGGACTCAAAAGCAGTAGTTGTCTTCGATGGGGTCGGAACCGACAGGGAGCAACATATTTCTGAGTCAAAAGCAACTAAGCCAAACGTAGGAGGCAAGCCTGATTGGTGTAAGAGAGGTGAGCTGTAAATTAACCTCATATCTCTGTTCTCTCTCTTTCTTTATATATATTGGAAATTATAAGGATCTTCATTTAGGTGAGGTGGAGGGGGAGCAACTAATTGTTGAGCGAAAGCCGGTGGAGTCTGAACCAATTGTCCATGGGGTTGGAACTGACAGGGAGCAACGTATTTCAAAAGCAACTAAGCCCAACGGAGGAGGCGAGGCTGAAGAGTGCAGGAGTTGTGAGTTGTAAATTAACCTCATAGACTCTCTCTCTCTCTCTCTCTCTCTCTCCATATATGTATCGGATTTTGGAATTCACAAGGGTCTTCGTTTAGGTGAGGTGGAGATGGAGTAACCAGTTGACGAGCTAAATCCGGTGGAGTCAGAATTAATTGTAGAAGAAAGTGTGCTGGTACAACGTTTCAAATCAGTCCTCCATGTTAAACAACAACAGCCGATAAGAGCCACGAGTTCGGAGGTTAGGGAGGACTCTGATTGGCAAACCAAGATGCTCTCGACCTGATCTTCCAACGATGTCCATGGATCTATAAAAATGATCTAGTGATCATCCAACCGTGTGAGGCCAACAGACCGACGGATTCATATGATCTCAACTTGGTTGATTTCTGGGTTCAGTTCTACGGTCTGCCATTGGAGTACCTGACCATCCCTATGGTTGTGAACATCGCTTCCATAATTGGAAACCCTAAATCCCCGCCCCTCGAAGAAGCAGAAAAATGGTGCAAATATGCTCGTATGAGGGTCACGATCAACGTTGACAATCCACTCCCCAACAAGGTCTCTGTTACTCTCCTCAATAATGTTGACATTGAAGTTACTGTTAGATATGAACAACTGTCTCGGTTATGTTTCTTCTGTGGGCGCCTAGGGCACGACGAACAAGGCTGCTCCATTCTTTCTGAACTTGGCCAAGCAATTGAGAATAGCAAATCTGATGTGGAAAAGCAACAACCGGTTGCACTTCTCAAGTTCCATTGTGATGACTCCATACTTGCAGCATCTCCGGCCTGAAAACTGAGCTCCAAACCAGAAATCACCGTGCGGCCTTATTGTCCCCATCTCAATCCCTTACCAGATACCTTCAGCAGCAAGCAACAAAGATCATGCAGTTTGATGATGTCCCTGATAGGCGTTCCAAGCTTCCATGGCCTAATTAATCAAGGCCACGTAGATCCCATGCATACCACGGTTGTGAATAACCACTAATCTTTTAGTTATTTTTCTTTGTATGTCTCGAGAACTCTGTAAAGTGATAGACATAATATTCTATATCATATTTTTTTATAGTATTGATACGGCCAAAAACCGAACACCAATTAGAAACCACCAAATGGCAACATGATTGGGGCAAAGTTGTCAATTGACGAGCTGATCGGGTCCTGACAAGTTACGAGTTAACCTGGTCCTAACGAATTACGAGCTAACCTAGCTTTGATGACCTATGAGCTGACTTGGTTCTAACGAGCTAATCTGACACCAATTCATAATATGCACAAGCAAGACGTGGCTGAACTGATCAGAACATCAATGCCAATGCACTTTGATTGTACGCGATCTGGTTGCTCCTAGCTAAAGGGCAGTTCGGACGTCGGTTGCTTAGTTGGATGGTCAAACTGTAAGAAAAGGAAGCTCAGAGGACCCGGGGTGGTTTACCCAGCGTGGAAGCTCCGATGCTTAAGTCAAGTGCGAGCTAGTAAATCTCAAATGCCAGAGTAGTAGTAAGCAGTTAATCACGCATACCTTGTGTCGTTGGGATTGATGCACTTATATAAGTAACCTATCGTGTGTATCACGAAACACCTCCGAGATCTTTGGCCCGTACTGTTAGGAGTCTGTTTCGCACTAGAATGTGGACTTCATGCTAGCCGATAAGGCTTATTGAGTATGTTCGATCTAGGCGGGATGAGGATAAGACCTACAGATGTGCGGCGTGATCCAGTGGAGCTCGGAGACAGCTGGCTTGCTTCTAGAAGTTGGCTACGTGTCACTTCAGCAAGTCTGGCCACCATGAGCTACTTAGACCTCGATCCTGGTCGAGGTGCCCGAGGTACCCTAGGTGACCAGGCCTGCTTACGTGGCAGAAAGTGCCGAGTTGATGTCCAATCATCAGGTCACTTCCATGTGTCCATGTATGAATAGGTCGGGCCAAATCTCCCCTCATCACACTCTATGTAGCCCACTGTCTACCTTGTGCACACAATGTGTCAATTGAGGGTGCAACAAGAGGACTAAGCTCCAACCATGTGTAAGAGACATGTCGGTTCTTGGATGAAGCCCCTCTCCTATAAATAGGTGAGTCCTCTATTCATTTTGACACAATTGAACATGGTAGCATGCTACTATGAACAAAGCACGCTGGACACCTTGGCACATGGAGCTCTCCAACTCCCCTTACGAGTTCTTTAGCTCATCACGGGGAGCTTACCAACTCCCCCATGAGCTCTTAAGCTCATCTCATGGAGCTCTCCAGGTCCCCTTACGAGCTCACCAGTTCTCCTCATAAAGCTCTTCGGCTCACCTTCTCTTCCATTGGCATTACTACCTTAACTGTCGAAGCCCACGCCCTTGGGATATCACCTGGGGCCTCTGATGTCTCTTCTGACTAATAGGTCTTCCTTACAAGCTGAGGTGTCAAAGTGCTGAGCCGAGGTGACATTCTGAGACGAGGTAACACCCTACTCCAGCGAATTTCCGCCTTTGCCCCAATGGCCGATTTTAACCTCAAGAAGTTTATACCAGAGAACAATCATATTCTCTTTGTTCCCTACTTGTGGAGACAAGAGAGAGTTTTCACGGTTGGTACATCAGTGGCGGTTAATAAGAGGTGCTGATGTGGCATAAAGCGGTTTCAGATAAAGACATGATTGATGCTCATTGAGTGGCAGTTGTGGTCAAGATTCATGGAAAGTTTGAAGGGAAATGGGTTGGGGAAGAGATGGAAAGTGGTCTAACCTTCTTAGCGCCTACACTACATATCCTTCGGATAGGGATAGGCTGTCGTAGTTCCTGGAAAGTCAATTGTCAATGATCTAAGAGAAGAGAGAAACTTTTGTCAAATAATAAGAGAGCAATCTAAGGAGAGAATGTCGATGGCTGGGGATAGATCCGGTTTCTGGGTCAGTGGTTTGATCGTCCAGCTCGCTAAAAATCATTGTTCAAGTCAAACGGACTCATAGTTCAACCACCCAAGTTAGCAGGTTGTTCACCAAGTCAATAGTCAATCGATTGTCTGGACGGTTTCTGGGTTAAATGGTTTGATCGTCTGGATCAACGATGGTTTGAACGCACACATATACRCACACAGAGAATTTTACTCTCATCCAAATGTCATTTATTTATTTCATATTCAAATTCTTTTTAATTGGTTCATTGCCAAAAAATTATAATTTGAAAATAACAAATAAAATTAAGAAAAAATTACTAAAGTTAATAAAAAATATTAAATTTTAGCAAAATTTTGTGTAGCAACTATCAAAATTAAGAAATTAATAAAACTCCTACTTAGGGGTGATTATTTTCAGGTTCAAGCAACTATTTTCTTCTAAGCAAGGTCAAGCTCAGATCTGCACCAATTCCATACCTAATGCGGCCTGTATGGTTGTCAATGAATCGAATTTAGTTGCATCCGCATCCGCATTTGATTATGAAATATCTAGATCCACATCTGCCTTCAATTATTATATTAGATTTTGGATTGGGTTTGGATTTAATCCACAACCATCTTAATGTGTTTAAAATGACCAAACAATTAAAAAATTTTTTAAACAGTTAAATATTTTTAACCCATATATGTATAATAAGTGTATATAATATAAAATATTAAAATAATATTTTTTATTGGAGTTGGATTTTAGCTAGATCAGATGCGGTTAAATGTGCATCTAATCTGATTATTAATCAAATGCAAGTTCTAATATCCAAATCCATTATAATCGGGTATCAGATTTTTGGAGTCCGTTGATAGCCCTAGCGGGCAAGGCCCAAGTTAAGTAACCCCTGCACTCGACTTAAAAGTTATATACATATGTATTTAGAAAACAAATTTTATGCTAATATATCGATAGAAATTATTACTAATTTTTTGTAATAGACTAAAACTAAATAAAAAATTTAATTTTTTAAAAAATTATAGTTTTATAATTAACAAGGGTAATCCTATCATTGTCCTAGGTTGATAATCAAACCAAAACCCAACCCAAAGTCTTAAACCTCGAGCTCATGCTTAAATTAATATAATCATGACTAAAAAATTAATCTATAGATTAATTTAATTATGACTATGCCCTTATTTTATATATTTACTAATATTTAAATATTTGAAATACTTAAGTAAAATTTTACAAAAAATAATTATAACATTCAATCATTAAGTAATTAGTAATAATTTATTATTTTTGTTAAAAATCATTAATCCTTATAATAGTTTTCAATTTCTGTTATTTCAATTTCCCTTGAAAAATCTCATGCATCGCATGGATCTCCGCTAGTTACCAACTAAAGAAGCTTATGTAGGACAACTTGAGAATCCAATGTTGTTCTATTCTAGATTTATTATTGAATAATATCAATTTATATGTGTCATTGTGTGTATTTCTATTTTCTAACCCTATCTACAATTTAGTATTATGATAGTTTACTTGAGACGTTCATAATAGTATGTGATCTAAATGTTCCTAATTAGTGGATTGTTTTGGGAAGTTTATGGCAATGGGGGCAGTGTGGGGCAGGGTTTTCCATGACTTGTCCTTGAACCCAAATTCAAATACTGCGCCATGTACCTCAATGGTATTAGAAATCCCTATCTTCATAGGGAATTTGCATGTCATGGGGCGGGTTTGGGTTGAGAATGGGGCAGGATGGACAAATACCATCCCTGTCCTATCTATAGTCCCTACCCTAGAGTAGTTTTGCGTTTCCCTTAAACACGCCCCAAACTCGACCAGTGGTAAAAAAAAAATCCATTGATCCAGTATCTCACAAATGGGCAGGTTAGATATTAGAGTATCATAGCGTCGGGACCAGGAAGTAGCTAAGCAGAGGGTATTTTGTCTTTAGACAATTTTGTGATGATCCCTATCAATTGTGGAAATTCTAGAATGAATGAATTTAGAATATTTGCTACGGAATTTGTACTATTTGATCAATGTAAGGCATTATAGTTAATGTAGTCCACAATCATTATACGGAATTTGTACTGTTAGTAAGTTTTTAATAGCTACTTCATTAAGAATTTCAAAAACTAGTTTGTTAGTGCATTTCTAATGGCTAGCTTTATTAGATGCTTTAGTGGCTAGTTTTACATTAAATGCTCCAACTACTAGTTTTTTYCTTTGTTTGGAGAAATCTAGAACTTTCTTTGAGAGTTGAGAGAATCTTCTCTTTGAGTGAATGAGTCCCCAACCTGTTTGGATGTGAGTCCACAACCTTGTTAACCTCATATATAAACCATTTTAAATTAATGGAGTTTCATCCAATCTCATCATTTTCTCCGATTCTTTGAGCAAATTAATTTCTTTCATATTTTCTCTATATATTTGAGCTACATCAAAAACTAAGAGATGATATTGACACCATCTTATAGTGGGCAAACTTTATGTCTGGTACTCTTTTGCTACAATCTCTTGCATTGAGATTCTTTACACAGCACCAACATCATTCTCCTATTGTGGGAGGAAGTGGAATACATACATAAGGATCCATGATATTAAATGTAATTTTTCATCTTCTCGAATTGAAGGTATTGTATATCTTTCTCAAAGCTAAGACTTCTAGGAGGAAAGAACAATACATCAATGACCCAACAATGTTTTGAAATGTGGTGTGACATTGAAGGCCAATCAGAACTTGCCATTGTTAATTTAAGATTAACAATGTCGAAGGGTATTTGTGTCTTATTCAAATACCACTTAACAATTGATTAACTGGTTAACAAGTTTTAAAAGTTTGACAATTAAACTTTCCAAGAGTGCGTTGATGGAATTGTCTGTAGATACAGTTGCTTTGGGGACATAAGTATATATCTTCTTAAAGCAAGAGCAATCATGGATCTTGCATTGGAATTTGATGGAGGATTTGAGTTTAGTCGAAAATTTGCCTCGTTAACCTGAAATGCTCCTTAAAGAAAAGAGACCGGACATGCAGATGAGAGTGAGACGATGGCCAGAAGGCTACGGTAACAAGTGTGAAGCACCGAACTAAGAGAAACGTTTTTATTTTTATTATGAGATAAGAAATGACGAAGAAAGATTAAAGAGGTAAATATAATAAGATATGATAAGAAAAGAGATAAAGAAAATAAAATACATCGTTAAGAACAACTGAAGAAAATCAAATAAGACAACTAATCTCTCCAATCACAACTGAAAAGAAAAGCCCAACTTGGCCAGATTATGAGCTGCAAAATTCACTTCCCGAGGATTCCAACTGAAACTGATGCTGCAACCATCACAGACCTTCAAAATGTCTTAGCAGAACTGGAGGTTATTTAACTCTACCACCACCAAATCCCTTCAAAATATCTCTCTCACACGAGTCCATGATATGTTTTGAGGGTTTACAGGTCACCTCTCTTACACCCAACCGCCTCCCCTCCGCCCTTGGATTCATAGCAAGCGGTTCCGGCCCCATCGGAAACTGGTTTTCATTCCACCGGCTTTCGTTCGATAACCAGTTGCTCGACCTCAACTAAACGAACATCCTTGTGAACTCCAATATCCGATCGGTAGAGAGCGATAACATAGATAAAAAGMAGTGAAATAAACACCTCCAGAACAAGCTTCAACCAAATTGGAAGAGCATCACGCATGTTGATCGCGGTACTCCCAAAGAGCTTAAGAAGAGTTACAACGTTACTCCCAAGATTCTGTTTGTCCTTCCCAAAAAGCCCCAGTTCCTCGACAATCTCTTCAAGTTTGCTCCCCAAAACGTCCCGAGTCCTCTGATCTTCCGCTTCCAATAGATTCTTCAGAATGGCAATGATGGGTTCAAGTACTTTGATCTGGAGATTTTTGCGAAGAAAGGCTTTCAATTTCTCGTTTAAAAAGAGCTGCTGAAGAACGCCATTCAACGCCCCAACCTGTCCGATCTCACGGGGCTTTCGTGCGATCAAGCCGGTCGAGCAGTAGATCGCAAAGTGCTCGCAGTTGTTATTAAAGACATCATACCTCCCGAACCCATTACACTCCAGGAGGAACTTGGCGCGCTGCAGGATCAGAGCAGGAGGGCTGGATTTAGCATGGCTGCAGGTTCCTGCTCGGATCCTGGTGAGCAAGAAAGCTCGCGAGACATTGTAATGGAAGCGACGGAGCTCACCGCCCGAGAGAAAGCAATCCAAGCAACACTTAACCACTCCCTCACGGCTGGAGTAGTCACATTTTGTGCATGGATTTCGAAGAATACTGGACCCATCCCAGGAGGATCCAGAGAAATACGACGAATTTCTGTCTGAAGTGAAGAAGTGAATGACTTGTTCGTCGCCGATGTATATCCCTGTAACAATATTAGTTGGAGAACAAACCAACCACGATTTACTACCAGGATAGACAACCATCGACATCAAAACACAAAATGAAAGAGACAGGGGAGGTGGGTTAGACCAACCATGATGGGCGTAGATGTAAAGGGGTGATCTCCAGCAGTAGATGTGATCACCCTTCTTGAGCTCGCAGCGGTCGATCTTGTTGACGAATAGGCGTTTAATGGATCTCATGCCTGGTTTGATTTTCTCCGTCTCCATGGTGTAACCTGGTTTGATTTTCGTTTAGGTCAGTCCTTCATGTGATAAAATGCTATAGTAAGTCCTCTGCAACGTAAACTCAGTATATATAGACATAATTGCAAATTACAGGGCTGTAGTAGTGTAAATCCTTCTTAAGAAACTTCGACACTTCGGGTCAACTCCGCAGAAAGCCCTTGAGGTCAAACTGCTGTTCGACGAGACTCGAGAGTGGGAGGACCGTAACTTGGAAGCATCCTTTTCACTGGTACTTCCCGGAAGAATCCAAAACAAAAAGCTCCAAATGATGAATCCTACCTTCCGTCTATAAGCTGCTGATCTACCGTTGACTTTGTTATAATTATCTATTTCTTTTCTATGGTTTACGGACGCTAATATTTGATACCACACGGTCCACACTAGAATTTGAAAGGAAGTTAATGAATTTGGTTTATTTTAGTTGTATCCGTGTTAAAATCAAAGAATCCCGGGATGCTAATTCGGCGAGGTCGCTCYGATGCTTAAGTCAGTAGGTTAGTAGTGAGCTAAAGCAGCGAGCTAAAATTGCTTGAAAATGAAAGAACGTGAGAGCAAGAAATCACGCATACCTTGCACCCCCGGGGGGTGAAGCCTTTTTATAGTGGAGTCCTCGCGGGTTTCGCAGAGTGGTTCCAGAATCCTCGACACGATGAGGTCCGTTTCCGCGATAATGGGGATAAGTGGTGGGGCTTATCGAGTCTGCCCGAATTGGTTGGGGAAGATAAGGCTAGCTGTTACGCGGTGTGATCCCGCAAGGCCCGGAGTCTGGTGGCGAGATCTTCGAGGTTGCCACATAGTGGTCTGTTAATACTACCCGAGCTACCGCTCTTTAGATCCAGCCTGGAGCGAACGTCGAAGTGCCTTGGGATCTAAGTGGTCCTGATCCAACCTTACACCGAGGTGAACTCGTCCCGAGGTGGTTTGATTCTCCGAGCTCGATCTGTTGAGGACTTGGCATGTTGGGCTGAGTTGTCATCTTACTAGTTAGGCCAGATCCACTTGTCCCCCTCTTACTAGGTCGGGCCAAATTGCCCTTCATTAATTGCCCCCCACTCCCCGAGTCGGGGGTCCCTATCCAGTGCGGGGAGTTCATGATGAGTCCAGGTGGATTTGGCAAGAGGTTTAGGCAGTCTGTCGAGCAGATCAGCCGGTTGGACTTGTTTGAACCTCTGGTTTAACCAGACGTAGCCCAGGTCGCATTGGGTGTACACGTGGACGTCACGCTGTTTATGGACCTCGCGGACGTCAAAAACGCGCTCAACCGATTTCGTCCTCGGGTGTCGTGCAACCGATTTTCATGAGTCATTGGATCGAGCAGATCTCAGCATTAATCGCCTCGTGGTGAACTATAAATAGGGTGCCGAGGGACCCCTCTTTTTCGCCAAAAATCCTGTGATTGAGCTCTCCCGAGGTCGCATCAGAGTCTTTCAGCTCGCTCTTTCTTTGTGTTCCGAGGTTGTCATTCTTTCGGTGAGTTCATGTTTTCCTTCGTTTGTTCTCCTTTGTTTTTTTCTTTTTAATCATGTCTAGCTCTAGCATAGATAGACTCTTAGGTGATTCCAGTGAGGTCAAGGGCACCGAGGTGCAGTCCCGGGCCCCTGCTGGGGAGGCCAGCTCGTCGCTGGATGACTCCCCTCTTCAGTGTTTAGAGTGAGCTCCTATGCGTGAAGTTGGGCCATCTCGGCCTGGCGAGTCCGAGGCACGGGAGGAGGGACCGACCTCTAGGACGGAGGTCCCATCTTCTTCCCGGGGTCGGGATCCAGACAACTTCGGTCCTTCCAACTTGACCTCGGATTGGTTAATGTACTTAGAAGCCCGCTATCGTCTTCTTGATAGCTTAGTTTTTAGTGTTCCTCTAGGTCAATATCCTTGGGATCAATACCCCTACGAGCTCGCGGTTTTTGAGGAGCAGCTCAATGCCGGGCTGCGCTTCCCGCTTCACCCCTTCATTATAGAGATAATCAAATTCTTTAACATCACAATTGACCAACTAAACCCGAACTCTATCCGGAACATAGTAGGCACCATCTCCCTGTTCCATGAGTATAACCGACCTCTGTCCCTAGATGTCTTCATTTCGATCTATTCGATCAAAAGGAATTCTGCTTGTCTACGCGAGGACGTCAGACAAAGTTACTACATCTCTCCTCGGCCCGGGTTTAAAATCCTGTTTGGCTGGCCGAACAAGGTTCCAACCTGGAAGAGGAGATACTTCCTTGTCCAAAATCCTGAGGGATTGTCTTTTCCAACTCATTGGAGGGTAGCTATCAAGGATCCCGGGGTGAGTTTAGATGCGGAGACTAGGGCAGTTATCAACTCTTGGAGGAACCTCGACCAGGAGATGAAGAATTTCTTGGCCGAGGAGAAGCTTGTGCGAGCTGGACTGAGCCCTCCAGGTAGGTCTTCACCTCGGTGCTTACTTACTTTAAGTGTTTTTTAGTTCRTGACTAACCTTTCCTTTTCCTCTTGTAGTAGCCATGCCAAAGGTTGACGCTAAGAATCTTCTCAAGAGCTTCCAAAGAGGAGGGAAGAAGAGGAAGGATTCAAAGAAGTCTCGTCGGGAGGCTGGTCCTTCTGCCCCCKCTCAATCCGAGGTCCTTGCGCCGGAGCCGATCTCTGCCGAGCTCCCGGAGGAGGAGGAGGCCCGCCCTCGGCTTCCCGTTGTGGACCTGGACGAAGACCARGAGGAAGGCATTCTGCCTCATGAACCGAAGGGCATTTCGACAATCGAGCCTCAACTCCCAAAGACAGTATAATGACCCCTCGGCTCGGGCTGCTCAAAAGCAAGGATGTCATTTTTCCAGCTAAGGTCGCGGAGTGGGCTGACATGCCTACAAGCTAGCTCGGAGGATGAGAACATAGCTTCTTGTAGCGTTTCCCACAGACGACGCTAATGGATTAAGCGCAATCTGGCTGCTCCCAGCTAGAGGTGACCTGGCTTCCAGACAAACGGCGGACTGAACCTGCAAGGATATCAGAGAACCCCAGGATGCTAACCCGGCGAGGTCGCCCCGATGCT